TTAGAGGCGTCCAAACTCCTCTGATCTGAATCTGTAAAACTGAGGTTTCAGGAGGAAGTCAGAGCTGCAGCTGCAGTTTAACATTTCCTCTAAAATAGGAGAAAACATGCAGACACATGGGTAGCAACTGCAGAAATGTGTACATTTCTGTAATAAATAAATATTTATCCACCACGTATTCAGAAACATCTGAATAATCTTTAATGCACCAAATTGTTTTCCAGCTGCCAACAAACACCAGTCAGAGGAGTAAAAATGGAGAACAAACAGCTTCCATGTTTCTGTCTGGAGGACAAAGTGGCTGTGATGATTTTCTGACTTGCTAACTTTTAGCACAGTTTGTCTGTTAAAGTGTCTTTGTGTGGATGAGGCTCAGGCGGTGCTCATTTATTAGATCTACTGATGTTTTTTAACATGTTAGATTTAGGAAATGTCAAACTCTGAGTCTCACATTCAGCTTGTTTTAAAGTGCAGGTTTTAAATTACATAAATAGATAAAATTGCACTTATTCTAAAATAATTAAAACATTTTTTATTCAGAAAATCAGAGAAATGATAAAAGCTGACTTTACTGAGAATGAGCTAAAAATATAACATGCTTCTGGACATTTCATATTATAGGATCTTTTTCTCTATTTTCAGTTAAATCTGATATTCAAGCCTAAAATAGCATCTCAATGTTAAAACTGTAGCAGCTAATGCTAATGTCAGCGTTCAGTCCACCTTCAGTTCCTGAAACTCTGGAAAGATTAATGATAGAATAAAACTTTGCTCCAATCTGATGGTCCAAAACATAAATAACAGATTAAAAGTTATAAATCTTTTAATGTTTGAGTTCATCCATTAAATGATTTAGCAGCAAGAATGGAAAATGTTGCTTATTTTGTCTACATGGTTTTCAATTAAAATATGATAAACTAATTACAGATCCTTCAGTAAACATAAACATTTTAATCTAGTTTAAAATATATTTTATGGTAAATTTGGGGGGAAAATTAGCAGATTGATGTTCCTGAGGTCTTATTTTCAAGAGCAACAGAGAAATGAAAACGTTGAAAAAACAGTATTAACTCTTAATTTGCTTGAAATTAAGAGTTAATAGATGAAATCAGAATGATTATTAAATCAATCCAGAAGGGTAAATAATGCAGATTATTTTTGAATATTTACTGAAATAACCCGACAGCTGAAAACTCCTCATCATCATCTCTAACTAATCTAAACTATTTCTTCCTCCTCTGGTGGTTTTATCATAAAGCTGATCAGAACATTTAGCAGAACAAACTTCCTCCTTTCAACCAGAAGAAACTCTGAGATAAATGAAGCTTCATGTCATCAGAGTTACTCTGGATTAAAGACATTTTATAGGAATAATTTAAATTCTTAATAAAACTGAGGAGCAGGATCCATTTATAGTTCAGTGTTTTAACAGTTAATAATTTGTTTCTTCATAGTTTCGCAGTAAATATGTGATAATTAGGAATAAAATGATCAGAACCAGGAGATTCTTAATTTTAGTACTTTTACCTTTTGTGGACTTTTGATAGAGGAGGTAAAACATTTACTGCCAACTTCTTTTTATTCTTCTTCTATTATTATTATTATTATTGTATTATTATTCAGATGTTAACAGCAGATTATTGCTTTCAAAGTGTGGATGAAACTGGAAATGAAGTGAAAATAAAGAGATTTTGAAATATGATTAAAAGTTAGAGTAATAACTCTGTGATCTCTTATTTTGTGATCATTTAATCACCAACACGTCTCACTCTGAGAAATAATCACACAATTCAGGTTTTGTTGTTCCTGAGAACATTTAGAAAATTAAAACACAGAAAACACATTTATATCTGCAAAAACATTTTTGTATATTTTTCCTTTGCCTTGTTCAAGAAATGTGACTTTTTTACATGTCAGAAGTTGCTTCCCCACCATATAACAGATAAATCCAAAATTACTCAAAGGAGATTGAGGTTTTTTAGCAAATGAGACGTTTCTATCTCATAGAAATAGTTACATTTTATAGCAGAGCAGCAAAAGTTCTGACTTGAAGGGGAAAAATGGAGCTAAAGATTAGGGTGATGGCAAAGAGGCCCTCCAGCCTCCAAGATCTAGAGCTCATCACTAAAGATACATAATCAAAATACCAGCAGGAGCAAACAAGAGAATCATCCTTTGTCCATTTAAGTTCTTAATGTTTGAGGTTCAAGACGAGTCAGAGAGTTGAATTCATGAATTCAGAACAGGTCCATTATCCTGCTGAGCAACACAGCAAAATGTCTAAGCTACGCCTAAAGAAAGCGTTCCCTGGTGCGTGTGCGTGTGTGTGTGTGTGTGTGTGTGTGTGTGTGTGTGTGTATAGGACCAGCTAAAAGAGATACAGGAAAACACAGAATCATTTATTCCCAACAGGCCCCCTGCTGGGGTTGTAGAAATCCCAGCCCAGAACAAGAACTCAGTTGGATCCTAAGGTATAACATGGCGGACCGTTCCGTCTAGGGTCATGAGGAACCGTAGCCCCGCCCCCTCCAAAGTCACAGGAACGCCGTGTCTCCAGAAACGGCCCAAAGTGTCTCATCCCACCTGTGTCAGCAAACTGATGTGTTTACTAAGATTAAGGTGATCAAACATCAACAAAATATGGCATGTTTAATAAAAATCAGTATTTTGCTGTTTAAATAAACATTATTTTCAAATAATTATAATATTGTTTTGTTTTCACCAATTCTGCTTTAAATTTATTCATTCAATCTTATTTTTCATGTGAGCTGTGAGTTACAGGCGGCCAGTTTTTAATCGTGACTCTTATAAAGGGCTCAGTCTGTCAAATTGTCCCGTCTGGAAGACGTCGTCTTCTTCACTGTTGAATCTGTAAAGTTCACGTCAGTCTTCATTTTCATGGATCTTTAATTGTCCTTCATCTCCACACAAAACACACTTTCTGTGTGGGGAGAGCCTCCTGTAAGGGAAGAAGTAGTTTGTTAGTGTTCACCTTCCTTGATGACCTGTAATTTCACATCATCTTCAGTCCACTGTTTGTTAAAAGAGTTGTTATTACACAGTTTTGTTTCAATAATTGTTCTTCAGGAGATGCTGAAGGTTTTCTATCCTGTTTGTGGGGAAACTTATGAACTGAACTGATTATAGTTGTGACATGATTGTATGAATCATGCAGTGATATCTTCCTCTGATTCTGCTTTAAGAGCTGAGAGGTCAGAAGTGATGAGTCAGCATGGTCCCCCTGCTGCTGGCCCAATTTCCTCCTGCTGACAAAGAGAAAAATCATTTATTGACTTATTTTTTCAACATAAAATGCAAAAACATTCAAGATCATTTTCCTTTAAAGCCACACCAAAATCAAAATGTTCTTAAAAACTGACTTGTGTCAGTGAATATCAACAGAACCCCTTAAAGTTTAAAGTGAATTGGCTGATTTCAACTTTACTGCCGTTTGGTTTCCTGCTTCCTGATGGGACCCCCCCCTCCCCCCCAACGCCCCTTCAATAGTTACTTCATTATGCAAATCAATCTCAAAGGTTATGAAGCTGAACTCAAGGGGGGAAAGATCGTTTGGTCTATATAACAAAGAACATTGTGTTTATATGTGACCAACAACATAAATTCATCAGTTTAACATCCACAGATCATTTCATGGTTGTTCATTATATTTTCTGTTCACCATCCACCAAAACAACAAGACAAACAAACAAAAAGCCCAAATCAGTCAAACGTCTCAGACTAACGGCTCCACATGGATCCTCTGGTCCAGCAGAGGCCCGGCTCACACACAACCCGGGACATTAAAACAGTGAGGTCAGCATCTTCCAAAACACATTTTTTGTTTTCATTTATTCCCAGTAATCCTATAAATCAGAGACTCTTTAGAGGGCCCCACTCCTCACACTGAACTGTTTTGCCGACACCTCGTCAGGTTTAGTCGACTGAGGACTGCAAAGTCCAGAGACGCACTTTCCCCTTTTTTTCTTCTTATTTCCATGAAATCCTGTATTTCACCATGAAACGAAGCTGCAGCCTTGAATTTAGGAGCGTAATAATTCAGACACCAGCCTCTTAATTTGGTTACGTCCAATTACTCAGTTAAAAGTTTCTATTTAGCTTTTGTTTCTGTGGGTCAACCCAGAGTTTGGGTCTGCTGAGCTCTGCTCAGTTTTTCACTAACATCTCAGCAGAGCCTCCAAACTGTGGAGAATTATCCTTTCTCAGTTTAGCTTCTCAATGTTTGAGGCTCAGTGAGTTGAATTCATGAACTCCATTAATTCAGACTAAAATGCAGAGCTGGTCGATCATCAGGCCGTCGTTATGGGCTGAAACAACAAAAAGGCTCCTAGCAACAGGTTCTGGTTCCTTTTGTTGGCTTATTTTTAGCTTTGTGCACATGTGCACTATGGCTGCGCATGTGTATATACGAGCATGGAAGTAACGGAAAGAGACGGAGGAAAACATGGAATTATTTATTCCAACTAATGTCAAGAAATCTTTTTCAGTTAATTGTTGAAAAGCCAACAGAATAAATCTACTTGCTATTTTTAAACAAAACTATAAATAAGCTAGACTTTTAATGATATATGCAAAAATAGATATACGCAAAAGAGATCAGCACACAGCAACTCAGCAACCCAAAATAAATCCAAAATACAGATGACACAGCAAAATTAAATAATGTCAATATGTCACAGCCAAATTGAATAAATCCAAAATAGCAAATGTAAAAAAAACAAGAAAATAACTCAAAAGGTCACTTTACTACACAATTCCTCCGTTTTCCCATCAGAACCAGAACTTCTGGTTCAGTGAACATCATCTGGATCATGGCGATTATTTGCTCTTGTTTCCAGGCAGGTTTTTCTCTGATCCTTCAGAGGATCTGGGTTTCCTCCTCAGCACCATTCAACTCAACTTTCACCTGTTTTCATGTCTTATTGCAGATTCTGATACCAACATGTCCTGTGTTCTGAACCAGGACTGCATTTTACCAGGGTTGTTCAAGAACATGAATGTGGCCATGATATGGAAATGTGAATCATCTCTGATTGTACGGTTTGACCATCGTGGCTCCAGCTGCTCTGAGAGCTTCAGATCCAGAGCGTCTCTGTCTGAGGATCAGATCTCCAGAGGAAACGGCGATCTGCTGCTGAGAGGATGAAGGTTGATGATGAGGGCAGTTACAGGTGTGATGCATTTACACCTGGTGTCTCTTATAGACGTGTTGTTCACCTTGCAGTAGAAGGTGGAACATCTTCGTTTGAAAACATTTCATTCAAATCATGTTTTGAGAGTTTTTACTTTGGTTCTATTACATTCTCATGTTGTTTTCAGCTCCAGTCTCTGACATCAGGATCCATCAGGATGGAAACAGGATCACCTGCAGCTCAGAGGGGATCTACCCTCAACCTGAACTCACCTGGTCCACTGAGCCTCCATCCAACACGGCTCTGCAGAACAGAACCACAGTCCATCAGACTGAGGAGAAGCTTTATGACATCAGCAGCTCTCTGACGGGTCCAGATGGTCCAGATCTGATCACTGAAATATCCTGAATGAGGTTCAGGATTTCTGAACAAAAGGTTTCATTAGTCAGCAGATTACTATTAAACTTCCAAGCTAAGTTTGAAGCTGGTTTAGATTTATTCAGAGAGAGAAACAAGGTGACTGAACAATGATCTGTTAGAGGAGCCGCTGAGATTTCACAGCTTGAATATTATTTACCATTTTATGAGGGATTAACCAATAATCTGGCCATTTCCAGAAGGATTGAACCAGGAGTATATTAGAATTAGGATTTCTAATTCTCCAGCAGTCTGTCAAATTTGTACTAGAGATTAAGTTTACAAAAATATCATCGTAAATGTGGTGCTGCCCCCTAGAGGGGAAACGATCGATTGATCCATCTGGAGTTACATTGAAATCTTCTAAAATAACCTGATCAGTGGAATATTTTAATTTCCAATGTTTTATCATCACTCCGAGGTCAGCAAAAAAAATACTATTTATCGCTTTATTATTGTATCCATATACACACCAAAATGATCTTATTTCCTTCAATTTCCACTATTACATTTACCCAGTGGCCATTTGTGTCACTGATTTGCTCCAACAAAGAACCTGGGAATCTGTAAAACATAATCATAACCAGCTGAATGTGACCACAACTAAAATAAATGTTATCACCCATTGAAGTTTCCAGAATTTACCCTCCTCACTTGATGAATAAGTTTCTTGCAGAAAAAAACAATTTGCCTTTTGCTCCTTACAATAAAGAAAAGTAGCCTTAAGTTTAACAATATTTTTTAAACCCCTAGTGTGAAGTGAAAGTAAAAAGAAACACAGTAGTTGTGCAAAAACTAATTTCAGGAACGATGAGCGAATGAGATAACAGCTGGTTTAGTGCGATAGCCCTTTTAACAAATACAAACATAACATACAATACCAGTGGGAGTGAAAGAAAAATGGCGGTGTAATTATTCAGGGTCCACTCTTCGATTGTCGATCAGGGCGAAGCCTTCCTTCAGGTATGGACATTTGCCTCTGTTCCTGGCTTCCTGAACCAGGGGCCACAGCTTAGCCGGGCGAGCCTGTCCTCCTTAGAAAAGTCCTCCTTGAAACTAATGTGCATTTCTTTACAAACTTTAGCATCTTTGGATTTCCTCCAGAATTCATCCCGTCTTATTTTTGACACATATGGAACCCCATAACACTTTAGGTTAACTCAGTGGTTTCCAAACATTTTCTGCG